CTATCCATGCGGCTGCTGTCTGGGGTCACATAGACATCCTTGAGTTGCTGGTATTGCATGGTGCTAATCTTAATGCTCGAACTCGCAATGGTGAAACGCCCGCTGATATTTGCGAGGATCCCGACGTCCGCGATCGGATACTCCAACTTCGCAATGAACAAGAAAGGGAGATACGGGAGAAGACGCGAGATCAACGTCTGAGGCGGACGCAATCAACCAATACGCGCACTCAGTCTGTGCGCAGGTACTTGCAACTTGCCTTGTTTCCTCAAAAAGACGATTAACCTTTATTAATTCAACTTATTTTTTTCAATCAACGACATCTGATTTTTAGGATTTGTTACGATTTCCAAGAGCAACATTCTTGGGTAACTCGAATAAAGTTCCGTTGATATTTTCTGCAAAAACTCCTAATTTCACGTTAGCCAAACCTTGGGATCTCTGCGAAATGTAAGAATATTATTATATACGGTACATATTTTTTTTACCTGTTTATCATTGCAGTGTATTGCAGTTGGACCGTCCGTCGTTTGATGAGCTGGAAAGTTATAAAAGTCTAAAAGTATAAAAGTCTAAGTTATAAAAGTTTAAGCTGGATCTTATTCAAGATAGGGTCCGAAAGTATTTTAATATGAATTTGACGAAGGGGTAATTAGGCGGTGCATACAAATTGTACAAGGGATTATTTTCGGACTATGACATCTTTTTGGGGAAAACGCGGGAAGTGTTCGTCGTTGCTGGGTGTGATCGATTCTGCTTCATTCTGTTACTAAAATTCCAGTGAGTGGAATGTAGGTGGTAACTGCCAATCGTCACTTGGAGAGAATTTCTGCGATTTCTTACCACTGTTAACTTCTTTCTGAGGTTCCCGGTCTGTTTCTGTATGAGATATACAGTATTTTTATGTGTTTCTTAGCTAAGACCCGTGGTTACAAATGTTGATCTGTATTGATGTTATTCTAAAATAATCAAAATGAAATTAAAAAAATAGCGTTTATAGATATTTTTGGAGGACCGTTACACGTTATTGTCATGTGTGATACTAATAGTATTAGTAGTTCATGCGATTGAACACACATAAATTCAGTTTTGTCGTACACGATTTTAGTTCACACTGAAACAAATCAAAGGTAAAAGGAAAAACATTCAATAACAAAATATAATTGGTACGTACATACATACAAAACCCACAATCTGACGGGTTTGGAATGATAGCACATGTGGGGCAATTTTCAAGCAATTTTTGAATAAGATACACAACTATATGGCATGAATAATCGCCAAAATTAAAAAAGGGCTGTCACAAATTGGGGAAGATTTTTACTAGGAGGCATTAAAGATTCACTCATCAGGCAGGAGGACAAATAATAGATCATGGGAGAAGCATCCCAAAATTCACCCATAAGGGAAAAACTACCTTAGGATCAGGGTAAATCACCAGGGGATTAGAGTTAAATAATCTCCCCAGTTGGGAGAAAAATAAACATAGGATCAAATAACCGGTAAAATCAAACTAACCCTGCCATGGGTAGAGAAACTGTACACGACGCACCTCAAACAGCATTTAGGCTGAAGGAATTCAAGGGGAAAGTAGTTGCAAAATTCTGTTGGTATTACTGGGTAGAATTTGGAAGACGAAGAAAAAGGGGGCTGGTTAGGATAAAAAATAAAGGAAGGGTCACTAAGTCAGCAAATGGACCGAGGCAATTGGAAGGGACTATGATCATTTTGTGAGGTGTTCTATCACTTCTGGTTGAAATTTACTGGCAGCCAAATTTAAATGGCAAAAAGAAAAATGGGGAACACGGTGAAACCATGGAGAATTTTCTCTTGAAGGTTTCCTAGAAATTTTTTGGTTTCTGCTCACGAAGTTGGGGAGGATGTGATTTCCGCACGCATCGGGCGAACATAAATGGGGGGAAACTAATTTTGTGAAATGATGGGCCTCAACATGTAACCATTTTCATTTTGCTCGTGTGTTGTCGAGTAGAACTCGTCGATCTCCGATCTTATGTTTTTTCTTTTCTTCGTTGAATTTTTGCAAGGCATTCCATTCGAGATAAAGCGCAGACGCCGAGGAAAGAAGCCAGAGAGGAAGCAAGAATTCGACTGCAACAAGCATTTAACCAGGAAATGGAAGGCGATTCTTTGGTGAGACAGCGACCGGATTTGTTGCCGAGATCAGAACCAGTTGAGATGCCGCCGAAGCTCTTCGATCCCACTGCTCCGAACCACCCACATTTCCTACCGAGGTTCGTACTACAATACAGTGTCTTGATATACTGTATATCAACAAATATGTGTGGTTCGCATTGATTCTCGGCTACGGCTTTATTGATAATAATGTATCTACCGTCTTCATAATCGTATAATTTTGTGTATCTATAACGGGAATTAATGTGGGGGCGGGGGGATAATCACTTCGTTGCATTTCCCTGCTCATACAGGTACAGTATTCGCCTTGTTTTCTTTGCGGTACTGTACGTTTCGTCGTTTTTTTTTTTTTTTTNTCTGATTCGTGTGCAAGAATTGTTCCGTGGGGAAAGAGCTTGTTAACCTGGTTTTAATGACCAGCTGCTTGGTTCCTCGTTCGTTTTATGAGTTGCTCTGGAAAATGCATTCAGGATTGAAACCACGTCCTGCGTCAGTCACTCAAAGATGCTCAGTCGTCGTTAGTCAACTTATTTGGCCATCTATGGTTGCCAAAAACGATTTTTCGATTGAGTAAAAGTTTGCTTTTATCATATTGAATAGCTACCGCGCAATATTTGTTTTCCCCAGGAACAGTTTTGGAGGTCCGGGAGTCGGTGACACTCTCGACGATGTTGATGGCGGAAAAATGTCGACAGCATCGTTGCCTGCAATGCACCTGGGGAATTCTCAGGCACCTTCCGATAGTGTAAATTTGAATGTACATGTTACTGTCACTTTGAACTCGAATGCCAACGGTCCGCAATCGCCGGTTGGTGTGAACAACAACAACGCCTCTCCCACCGGTGAGTTACAGCTGTTTCCATCAACTCACTACAGTTCAACCTCGTTACAGTAACTTGAATCTCCGTGCGTCGATTTTTTCGAAGTCCCGTCTTGAATTCCCGTAGGAACGGTGCATTGAAAACCTCCCCAACTCGAAGGCTTACTTCTTCAAACCTCTATTATTCGAATTTTCCGGAGACCTTTTTGACCATACTTTTATTGACGGAGGAAAGAGAAAAGCAATGAAAATGTAGCTTGATGTGTTTTGAAAAGAATTTTAAAAATAATTGGGCAAATAAACCCTGGCCTTCAAGTTTAGCATCCTCTCAACTTATTTATGAAGCTACAATATCTAAAGTCTAGATTATCACTAATCACTATATCCTGTTAATTTTTGCTGATTCCTTGAAGTTCGACTTGAACAGGTTTTACTAAAATACAGAAGAAAATTGAAGCCAATGAAAGACAATTTTCCTCATTTCTGGAATGTCATTAAATATTCGGAAAATATGTGACCACCAAAATAAGATTTTATGATATTGTGCGTGAACCGCATCATCACAACATGAACCGCATCATCAAAACATTTTAATTTGAGGCTTCGAATATTTTTGTCAGTGTGAATTGCGAGGGGACAGTTTATGAAAGCAATGGGCCGAGAACTGTTCACTTAATTGAACTAAGATTTCATCGTTGGTATTTTTCCATGAAGTTGAATAATTTCTTGAAAATTTCGTGGTCCTCTCTTCAGTTTCAACTACAATATAATTATCGCGTATTTTCTCAAGTGAGGCAGTATCTCGCTTTGTTGGGGAATAATGGCAGGTTCAGAGGAAGTAAGAATCGAGTTCAAAGTGTTCGAGAATTTTTGCGCGATGGTCATTGCTTAGCTTTTTTTTTTTTTCAAGTTTACGTGATATTTTTTTTAGGTTCAACTAATGGTCCCGGAAACACAGGAACATTATCTGACCTCAAGAAGCAGAGAGCGATTGCCAGGTCTCAGCACAATAGTGTATCCGAAACGTCCAACGGTGGATCTCCTGTTC